GGGCACTTTTTTCATTAACACTCACTTGAAAACCCTTGAATTCACTGTCACTGACACTTTTCATCGCTGTTAGAGCTATCACTTGGGAACAAAAGACCTCCATCCGCCGAGGAGCGAGGAACTTCTTACCGAGAGGCATGGTGATGAAAATGGACTGACAACATGGCGTTCCCACAATGCACCGCTAGGTCCCAGATTTTTTTCACAGGGTGCACACCGACCACTGAGACCCATTCTCTCCCGTGTAGGCCTACCAGGCCTTTGGCGCTCGATTTGAAGCCGCTAGAATTTGTGCGTATAAATACGTCAGAAACATTGGCTCGTAAGACGTATTTATACGTCGGAAACAGTCAAAGGGTTAAAGGCATAGATGAGAGACCACCAAGGCATAGGTAAAGCCTTCTGTCTCTTTGAGACAGCAGATTTCTCATTCATTTAAATAAACTTTGGCAGCAACGAGAATAGGATGGGTGAGCTTCATTACAATTGAGGCAAGAGGGAGGTAGACTACAAGATGTATTGGTAGGGTTGGCGGCACCACAGACTGGGCATTCTGCCATGGACCTGCAATATTTCGCTGAATGGCCAAAACACCAGCAATTCTACACTGCTGTAGTGTAGGGATCACCTTTCGGACTTGTAACCAGTGTCTTGCAATATAAACCGAGGAAGAAAGCTCATGGCAGTCAAAAGTTAAACAAGCTACATTACAGGGGAAGCGTCTCCACCCACAGGCAGGTAGTACATGTGTGTCCACTTTAGGAATTAGGAGGTCTTGGAGCTAAAGTTGCTCCAGAATGTCACCACATGTTTGGAAATCATGCTGAACAATGGTATGAGATAAAACAACAATACCACTACAAGAATTGAAAGAATGGTGTTTTTGAATTGTTACAAGAACAGCATCTATGGTGGTAAGGACAGAAAGATCGTAAGCTTGGCTAGCATTCTGTACTGTGACAGTGCGTGCACCGCTCTTGAAAGCGTTGAACAAAATATTTCAACCACATGACGTTAGAAGTGCCTTGCTGATACTCTGATCAAAAAGATAGTCTGAGGAAGATGTCAGCCGCAGAGTGAAAAACTTAGTCCACTATGTACTATGATGCATATTTTGTAAAGGGAGCAGTTGTTGCATTGGTCTTTTCTGAGCAGAGAGAAAGGCATTCAAGGCAGTGTCATCAGAGAAAGGTCATGGTCACTTGGATGCAGGACTGGAGGCAGTCTGTTTTGAGGCAGGTAGGTGATCTGAAAACCACTGCACCATATGGGGAGAAGCTGGAAGCATAGTCAAAGATGTGCGGGGGTCAGATGTGTCAAAAGAGTCAAGCCGAGCCTTGGTATCAGGAGCGTACGACAAAATGCCACCCGCAGAAGATACAGGGGCATTAGAAAGGTCCGAAGGATGGTCTGGTAACAAGGCAGGTTCGTAAGAATGTGCTGCTACAGAAAAGGGCCCAAAAGGAGCAGTTTCATGGATTTGGGGCTCCATGGTTAGGTCTCTCTTTTATTTTTGTTTTTAGAAAAAAAAATGGAAAGAAAAACAAAAAAAAAGGGGGGAACATGGAAGGGTAGCTCCTAGGAGTAATGAAAAGGCCAGAAATCACCCATGCGCTTGCTTATTTCAAATCTTACATTACTAATAGGTATCAGTACGTCACCATTAAAGACACAGCATCAGCAACATGGCCACTTGATACTGGAGTTCCGCAGGGAAGTGTCCTTGGTCCCCTGCTCTTCCTCATATACATCAATGACCTTCCAAACGTATCCCAACACCTGAAACCCATTCTCTTGCTGATGACACGACTTATGTCATCTCTCACCCTAATCTTGCCACCCTCAACACCATTGTGAATGAGGAGCTGATTAAATATCGACTTGGATGACAGCCAATAAACTTACGCTTAACACTAACAAAACCTACTATATTATGTTTGGTAGCAGAGCAGGAGATGCACAAATTAACATTAAGATTGACAACACTCTAATTACCAGAAATAATGGGGGCAAATTCCTAGGCTTATACCTTGACAACAACCTGAATTTCAGCACCCATATCCAGCATATAACCAAAAAAGTATCCAAAACGGTTGGGATCCTCTCCAAGATACAATACTACGTGCCGCAAAATGCCCTTCTCACACTATACCACTCACTTATTTATCCATACCTCACCTATGCTATTTGTGCTTGGGGATCAACTGCAGCAACACACCTAAAGCCAATAATAACCCAACAAAAAGCTGCAGTAAGAATAATCACTAAATCCCATCCCTGGCAACACACCCCCCCACTCTTCATAGACCTAAACTTACTCCCAGTTCAGTACATCCACACTTACTACTGTGCAATCTACATCTACAGGGCCTTAAACTCTAATATCAACCTTGACCTAAAACACTTTCTTGATAGTTGTGACAGAACCCACAGGCATAACACCAGACACAAACATCTCTACGACATTCCCCGTGTCCGACTAAACCTTTACTAAAATTCAATGTATGTCAAAGGCCCTAAAATCTGGAACACCCTACCTGAGAACTCTAGAACTGCAGACACATTCATCACCTTCAAAACTACCATTAGATAACATCTTATCTCCCTGATACACCCCGTCAACTAACTACACGAATACCACCTGGTGGTTCACACTTACACTCACTCACTCATTTGACCATAAACAGAAATATTAACCTCAATCTTAAAATAATGAATCCTGTGATACTCCAATACTGAAACTATGTACTGTGCCAAAACAAAAGCATTCACATTGCTAAACTCACAAACTAGTATTTAGTCACTTAGCCATAATACCAACTTACCTCATAATTTGTAATATTTTACAATTAAGAATAAAACTAAGTCTGCCCGAAATGCCTAGCCATGCTAAGCGTTCTAGTGGTACACTCTGTAATCACAATTTTACTACATGTAAACCACACAATAACCAAATTTCTGTAAACTCAGCATTGTAATCCTTATAGAGAATAAACTTTGAATTGAATTGAATTGAAGAGGACCTCAGAGCAGCCAATAGTGCAGATGTGGCATGGAACCTGTGCTGTACCCTACCTTTCATGCCAGTAAACCAGCAATCCAGGATAGCAACCTCACATCTACCAAGCCACCTTGGCGGACAAGAGAAAAGGTGGTCGGATACACACCACAAAGCATACCTCCTTCGGCCGCCACCTCCTGGAATTCGACAGGTAGCCTCCAGAGATACACCTTTCATCTGAAAGACACCCGAAGCCTCCCCCCTGGTAGACCAGAGAGGGATTGGAAACTCCAGACGATCCAAATTCCAAGGCAAATTACGCTACCATCAAGGTACGGTACCATCAAGGACCTCAATGGAATGGGATGGACCATGGTACCCTTCCTCCAGCCTAGGAACTAGAATGCCTGAGAGAACCCCAAAGGCTGAAAACAGGCAAGGGAAAGAGGAGGGATGGGAAGAAAAGGAGGAATGGGAGAGGAGGGATGGGGAGGATTGGACAGGGAAGGGGAGGATTAAGGGGTAATTAGGTTTGGTTGGAGGAAGATGACTGAAGGGTCCAATTCCTCATACCAATAGTCTCTTCACTGCAGCAAGGAGCATCCCTTGAAGAGGATGCATATATGTAAAATTTCTGCATATAATACATGTTTATGCATGCATATGCATGTATGTTTTCCATGGGGAAGTGGAACAGAAATCTTCCTCCGTAACCCATGCACGTCGTAAGAGATGACTAAAATGCCGGGAGCAAGGGGCTAGTAACCCCTTCTCCTGTATACATTACTAAAGTTAAAAAGAGAATTTTTTGTTTTTCTTTTTGGGCCACCCTGCCTTGGTGGGATATGGCCAGTTTGTTGAAAGAAGAAGAATGCACATGTGTGTCCATGACAACCACCACCAACACAACACCCTCCATTACCACCACCGTATAGAAGTGTTGCAAATTTGAAGCTGACTGGATAAGGCATTCTCAAGTTATAAGCAAAATAAAATAAAGTAAGAGGAAGAAAAAAATAATTCAGGCACTTTATTGAAGATAACATTTGGGGATACCTAATAAACTATATCTCAGAAGTACCAGTACCAGTTACCAGTAGTATGACTCACTACCAACCGTCTGTGTGAATGACTTGTTATTCACTGTTACAGCTGACCCTAGCACGTTCTGAACGCCGCTCACCCTCTAGGAATCATCTCATGAGCCAGTTAAAGGATAGACAGGAGAGAGACAGGTCAGGCTTGGTGCCTCCCATATAGTCCATCAAATATACACACTTACCGCCTACGTGAGTATTATTACCCAATCCACGTTTCGGAACCCACACGACATACTATCATGCTAAACAGGAGGGATGGGACAATATCAAAAATTTTACATATACCAATATTCAGCTTAAACTGATTTTAATACAATGACAAAACCATCAAAATTAGCCATGATACTAGTACCGTTACCAATAAAATAAAATTTAGCTGATACCCACTGATGCCATACACAAATTCATCAAAATGAGCCAATACCCATCAATACTTTAGCACACCCCTAATAGAGTAACAAATTTAGAATAAACCTTCATTTTCACTAATCTGTGGAATTTTATTATGACTCACTGCAAAAATGCAACAGAATAATTAAATAATGCAGAATCTTGACAGAATTTGCAGTAGAAATGTTCAAAGTTACTGCTATATTGCTGAGTGGCTATCTGCCTTCTAAGTCCTCACACCACAGATTCTGTATTTACCCATCTCATCTCTCTGTTAACCATGTCACTAATGAGAAACCTTGTGATGCCAGAGGCCTAGGAAAAATATTCATCATTATCTGATGATTCTGAAGAAATTGAGCATCAACTGTGAAGATTAATGCTCAATCCAGTTCACAGTTTATGGGAAGTTGAAGCTATACAAACATGAAAAGCTTTGTGTGTTTAATCTACACTAAATTTTCCACATAGCTCATCATTACAACATAAATTTTTTTTTTCTCACGAACCATGTGTGTGGCTGTTGGTGTATCCAGTACACATCAATTCATTTTCTTCTTCATCATCAGCCCAACGCTGACGAGCACCTAATAAATCATCTGTGTCTTCATCTACACAGCGTTGAGGGTAGGTAACTCCATCACCCAAACTGTAAAAACACATTAAATAATGATATTCAGTAATTAACTGGATTTTCTCTGAAATCACAAAATAAAAATTACATCAGTAAACCTGAAAAATAGGTGAACCATTCACATAATAGATCCAAAAGGTGTAATGCTGACAATGCAGAAAACACATTTTGCAGTACAGGATTTAATTACTGTATTTCGCAGCTTATAAGATGCTCTGATGCATTAGTTACATCCCAATTTAGAAGGTAATAATCAGAAAAAAGTTAAGAGTGCCTAATACCAAGTAATATTCACTCCACTGAAACCTATGGTAATTTTACATGCAGAAATAAGGTTACGTTTGATTTATGGGTAGGTCAAAACATACAATAGGCCTGGTGCTCACCTGAACACCCCCAATGATCTCTCATTTTGAAACTGGTGCAACAGTCACTGGTGGCTGAGTTGCTGCTGTGTGCACAACTCTATATAGTGAGGGGTCCCAGAGCGCATACTGATGCGTCTTTGTCAGTAACTATTGGTATAAGCAAAAATGGCTGCTTCAGCTGTTGTACCATAACATATGGTAAATATGATTATGATGCCTAGTAATAAAGTGAAAATACCCAGCATGTGCCAACAATAGCGTAGTATACGGTAGCATTATTTTAAAGTGCCTACCATCAATGACGCTGCTTTGTGACTTCGGTAGTTTAAGAAATAACAAAGGAAGGTGTTACTTTTAAGGAGGAATTTTGTTTTCTGTCAATATTCCAGTACAGTATCCATATTTCATAAATAGCTTGTCTCAAAATGTTATAAATTTACTGTAATTTTGAAACTGTGAAGGCTTACTCAGCCCTGTAACAACTTCAGTCAGTATTACTCAGGCTGGCTCCTCCTCAGGAAAATTAATGAATAGAAAAAGAAATAATAATTCACAAAGATAAACATTATTTATTAAATCAAACATAAAACAACAAAACACGAAAGGTATATCCTATTTGAAAGAAAAATGAAAAATGAAATGAATAAAATAACATTTGAACTCAACACTAATATCTACAATGGTGTCTGGTGTTGGTGACACTGTTGTTGAAACCGTAGCCGTTGCTGATGATATGGGGGAGGGGGGGGGCGCAGGTGTTGGTGACCATCCACTGGCTAGTTCTTCACAGTATACCAGTGAGTATTCTATCCCGAAGACAGGAAAGCAGGTTCTTTACCGCTGCAATGCTGTGGAGTTACGTCCTGCAATTTCATACAGGTGCACAGGTAGTTCAATACAAAATGGAGAAGTCTCTGGACATTAGTCCTTCTCCTGTTCTACTCGTTGATTGCCAGGTGACCCTCTCTGACATCCAAGCTGGAAAGATAGACAGGTTACCCACTGCTTAAAATAATCATCTTCATGTTTAAAAA